GGCTTTTCCAATTTTGATGATTTCCTTTGTTTTTTGTTGCTGGATGCTGTAGTTGTTCTCTTCATCACTTATCTCCTAACTGCGATGGTCCTGAAGGTTTAGTCAAGTAATCAGGCCTGTACTTTTGGTCTCATCTGATCTCGCTCTCAATTCTTAGGCCATGTGCTTGCTGAATAATGGGGACTTTTATGCACCCCATGCAGTGTAGGATTTGGCTGGGCGCACATTTAAACTTGAACTTGCTTAGTTGCTCGGGACATTTAAACTTTTAAAAGAACAAATGAAATCCCGATTTTAATAATTTGTAAGAATAATATTCTAGGAAAGAAAATTTTGAATTTTGGTTAATATCCAAGCTCCACTAGCAGAAATTGAGCTTTTTTGATGAGGCATCTGAGTAAGATACGTCTATGCCATGTTCTGTAGACATTTAGACCAAGTGCCAATTAACACAATGCTAAATTTGATGCTTGCTTTGACTTCTCCTATTCATTTACTTTTTTTTTCCTTAATGGCAATCCAGAGTTAAATATCAGTCTACTATCTTAAAAGTCGCTCTTTAGTTTCTTGGAATTATAGGATATCTTACTTTTGGGACATGCTAATCTTTTTATTTCGTATGTTCATGCTGGTGTTTCTCATCTCTCAGGCCAACCCTGAAGACCCTGGGAATTTTCCTTTTATATTGCTTGGAAACAAGATTGATATTGATGGTGGTAATAGTAGAGTGGTAAGGATATGACATACACAGTTGCAGTTCTGTCTATAGTGTTTTCGCTTAAAATGCCATTCTAATACTTGTCTCTACAGGTTTCTGAGAAGAAAGCAATGGACTGGTGTGCTTCAAAGGGGAATATAACTTACTTTGAGACTTCAGCTAAGGAGGATTACAATGTCGATGCTGCATTCTTTTCTATTGCGAAGACTGCTTTAGCCAATGAAAATGAGCAGGATATGTAAGTTGACTCTTGAGGGCAGGCTGATTTATATATTTATTTATCCTATACATATTTTACTAGGTATATTCTGATGGAGGAACAACAGTTGTAATTTTATATGCTGGAATATTAAGGCATATTCCACACATGAAACAATGACCAATATTCTAGTGGAGTGACATAAGTTGTAAGTTTCTCGAAGGATGAAAAAAATAAAAAGAAAAAAGAAAAAGAGTTCACTAGGCACTCCATGGTCAGAATCTCAAGTGACTAG